AAAGGGAAGGAGGGAGGGAAGGAAGGAAGGAGGAGGAGCGGGACGGAGGAAGAAAGGAAGGAAAAATAGTGTTTGATTTTCCTAACTTTAGATAAATACAATTGTAAAGCTAAAAAAGACTTTAGAAATAATTTAGCCTTGTGATTCCCAACTTCTTTGAGTATGAAGTCTTATTTTTAACACATATATTTTCCCAGGACACCATATAAGAACAATTATTCTTTTAGTAGCTATTGATCAAAAATATGTGGAAACATATTTGATAAGTTTGGTGACATTTTAAATTTAAACTTGTATCTATATACATTTAGAAACTTAGTGCATGTGTGTATGCAGATAACATGACTTATTCTGGTTTGGAATAATTCTTAATGTACATAAAGATTAACATTGCAAAATCTGTGAAATAACTGAATATTTCTGGGGCAGAATGTCATCCAGTTGGGAAGTATAGAACTTTCCCAACTCATTCTTTTTATATTTTAAAAGCGAAAACCAAAAAAGTGTAGAAACTGGCCCAAGATCATATTAACTGAAAATTTAGATTTACATTCCTGCTAGTGAAGTAATTTATCCATATCACAATACTCAATAAAGAGTTTGTTAGTTGCATACTTAGATAATTCAGGCCGGATACCTGAAGCAAGGATGACTGTAGCTTAGGACTTTTTTGGTTTAATTATCTCCTTTTTGTTTTGTTGTTTTAATGTATATTAAGACCAAACTTAGTAGTAGTTAAGCTGACATTAGAATAAAAAATATTGGCTTATGCTAGATTTATAACAACAGCACCCGATTCCATGGCTTTAAATTCCTAAGGAAGCACTAAAAGGAAATTGTAATTTACTGAGTTGATAGACGTGCACATAAATTCATACGATTCTTTAGATCTAAGATATATCTCTAGTAATTGAGTTACATAAATATTTTTAACTCATCACCTGAATGGTCAGAGGGTGTAACAGGCTCAGTAGTTCCTAAATTAAAATGTTAAATGATAGGAAAGCATGTTTTTGTAGTATATATCTTTCTTCATTAAATTTCTAACAACAGTGTGAACAATGACACTCCCTGAGATTGCCCTGTAATGACTAAGGCTTCTGGGATTATGAGGAAAAATAGAACTGGCTCTTGAAAGAGGTAGGTCATGTATTCTATAGCACAGACACGTTTGGAAAAAACTAAGTAAATCTCGGGAGAATTTGGCCAACTGCTCATCCTTGCATTTGAGCCAGGTACATGCCCACACAGATGCCAAGGTGTCATTTCTGAAGAATTAGGAGGAAAAACCTTGGATTCAATGTTGTCTTCATGGAATTGACAGCTAACGATTACTCAGAAAAACAAATAAACTATTTTTGCCTACTCCCAAAGTGGTTATATAGTGATGGTTTTATTATTTCACTTTCAAATATTTCTTTTACTATGTCCTGGCAATATTATCGATAGCGTTTAGGAAAATTATTAACCACCATTAAATAAAGTGTAATAGAATGAATAAATTAGTTAATATTGGATTCTATTAACATTTCAAATATATAGTAATATAAAGTTGTAATAATTTTAAACATTGTAACTAGTCTTTTTGGTAGACCATTGCCGTGAACTGAATGTTTGTTATCTCCAAATTCATATGTTGAAATCCTATCCCCAATGTGATGGTATTAGCACGTGGGGCCTTGGGGAGGCAATTGGGTGATGAGAGTGGAACCCTTATGCATGGGGGCTACTGCCATCATTAAAGGGATCCCAGAGAGCTCTCTCCCCCTCTTTCCATTATGTGCGGATATAACCAGAAATAGTGCCCTTGCTGGAACTGAACTATGATGGTATCTTGATCTCAGATTCCAGCCTCTAGAACTGTAAGAAATACATTTCTTTTGTTTATAAGGCACGCAGTTTATGGTCCTTTGCCATAGCAGCCCGAACTGATTAAGATGACCATATTTGCCACTTTCTGTTCTGGAACACATATGAATGAACCCGGCTGTGACTGAGGCTGAAGCCACCGTCTACTGGTGCCTAAGGGAGAAATCACTGAATGCAGATTGGTGCCGGAATTCAGACTGTCTGTCCTGGAGACTTATTAATGGACATATGAAACAGATGCTCTCTGGGGATTGCAGACATGTGACAGGGAATGGGGAGAGTGAAGGAGTAATTGGTATATTTGGGAAATACAGATTTCATCGTGTACTGTTAAGGGCCCTGATGTCACTTTTGAAAAATTTGGATTCCAAATGTTGCTCATTTGATGTTTTGGAGCCTCTTGAGACTCACTGGTTGATTAATGCTGGAGATTTTGTTGGGGTCACGCTTACTGAGATCATCTTTCTATTTGGGGGGTGAAGAAATGCGTTTTGAGTTGTTGGATCTATGTTGAACTTCTTAGACTACTTGGTTTGAAGTTCTTATTTGAATTTGTTTTTAACTGGGCAGAAAACTTTAACTTGCGATGGACCCCTCTCCTGATTGCCATCACCAGTCACGTGGTCTGGTCACACCTGGTTTCAGGGCACCTGGAGGCCAGCTCTATGCATGCCCAAACATTTCTCACATAACCCTGTGGTTGACCTTGAGGGAGCCCTTATCTCCTGACTGATCTGAAAGCAGTTCTTAAACTTCTCATTTTGTTCCACTAAAGTAGAACAAAAATATGTTTGCATGAGAAAGTCATTTGTGTCCTGTGATACCTTATACACACCCACAGGGAAAAACAATGAGAGTGATTTGTTAAAAAAAAAATTACTGAACGTTTGTTGTTTTCCCCTGATGCCAATAACTCTATAATATTTTTAAGGAATTTTTGTTGAAAAATTTTGGTTTATATCTTCTATGCTATGTGAAAAAAATTGAGAGACACCTCTCCCCACCATGCTCTCCAAAAGGAATATCTAATACCACCCATAGTCTATATTTAAGACTACCAAAACTGTACTGAATTTAGTGATAATTCACCTAGATATTTTCTAGTGATGGAAAAACAAAGAAAAAAGCTGGTCTTATCAGCCAGTCCCCTTAAAAACATCATATCTAAAAAGAGACTTTGATAATTTGTTTTCCTGGTAAGTCAAACAGCTATCCGAATAACTGCTGAGCCATTCTAGTAAACTAGTATGGCCACCCTAATCCCAACCTAAAGATAAGAAACTATATTTTAGGACATCTGTATAACTATATTGAACATACAGTTATTACTATAATTTGGATTTTCTGAAGTACAAAAACCAGGGGCTTTCCCCTTGCCAATAACAGCTTCAAGGACTTGCTAGCTTTTGAGATGTTGGAGACATTTGGGACATTTGGGGTCTACTGAGGTGTAGGAAATTATATCCAGTGTTTATGGTGACTCACTGATATTCTTTCCCAAAGAAGGACCTTTTCCTGATAATTCTGGGATCCATGAATACGTGGAAGTACGAGGGCATGAAAGGCGGAAGCAGCTCCCATGCAGAATCCTAGTTCTGCAGGCATTTGGGGAAATAACTTAGGTCACCAGCCATTGAGGGCTATCACCCTCAACCTGGACTGCTGGTAGGAGATTCCTGCTCAAATCCCTCATCCCTTGTTCCTCTGTGCTAACCATGACACTCCATCCACTCTCAATATAGTGCTCAGTCATTAGTACATTCCTTTCTCCACACTGGACTATTGGAGCATCTCTCTGACCACAGCCACACCAGTGACCCTCTTTGAAAGGGTTCATAGGACACAGCAACTCTCCAATCTAACTGAAAATGGTTTTATCAGTTTTCCATTCAAAATCCTAGCAGTGCCTGTTTCTTTTGGACATTTAGCTAGTGATGAGACTCAGAAATCCATCCCTCCTACAAGATTTATTAATTGCCCATGGCCTGATATTAAATAAGTATTTTCCATGGTTATTCAAGAAAAACTAAAGTGATAGACATCGTTACAATTATTTTGGAATTCTACTTTCTTGAGTAGTGTGGCTTTAATAACCTTAAAGTCTTTCCAGGTACTAAAATTTTTTATTCTGTAAGGCTTGTCCTTACTATAGCAGGATTGACCCTTTGTCTCAAGAAAAAGTCCAAAAAATGTTTAGAATGTACTGGTGGCTTATGAAAACCAAAGACAGGGAGGTGTTAGAGGGAAGTGGACTGCCCATTCAAGCCAAAGGATTTTATTAACAAGCTCTGGGGTATCTTAAGCAGTATAATGGCAAAATTCCAATTCTATTGAAGTTCATTATGAGAGCACCCTCAAAGTTTCTATCATGGACTAGATACAGATGAAACTCTCATAAACTTCTTTCCCAAACCAGGAAACTCCAGCATCCTTGGGTGGACCGTTTTAATAAAGGCTCGGTGAGGTTATGGAAAAATGCCTTTCTAGGTTTGAAAATTAGGCTTGCTTCTAATGGAAACCACAGGTCACTGATAGATGACTACAAAGAAATACATACATTTATATCCAGGAAATCCCCAAGTATTCAGAATCTTTTGCCTTCATGGTTTCCTCTGGAGCTGCAAATACTGAGATTGAAACCCATTGGGAAAACCGTGCTTCAAATATTCTCTTCAATTTACCCCTGTGGCAATTTAGTCAAACAAACTGCTTGGAAGTAATCTATTTGCAAAACCTAGGTGGGGAAATGCCTGCCACATTATATAATTCACTGAGCAGGTTTTGGCTCCCACTCAGCCAATCCATCTTAAATAGTGGCTAGTGCCCTGCGTCTATCTAGCAATACATATGATCAAGCAATTTAGCACACAAAAAAGAAAGGCCTCACAACTTGGCATCCCCGTGGACATTAATCTTTGAGAAAACCAAATGGATCCAACTTTTTGCCAGAGTTTAATAGCAAAGCTGTCACATTTTACACAAATGAGCCTCGGGTCTGTTAGCGAATGGAGAGAGGAGCCCTGGAAGAGGGGAGTGGAGGAGGTGGAGCTGCTGACTGGACTGTTTTCAAAGTGGCTCCAGTTTTTAGGGGAGGGGCCGGGATGCTCTGCAAAGCAGGAGAGACGAAGCAGTTAAAAATTATTACTAGCGAGGGGCTGGAACCTCGGGGTGTGGGTATATAAGACGGCGCTTCCAGCGCAGAGCCGCTGCTGCTGTTGCGGTGAGAGCCGCGAGCAGGGCGCACGGGCTCAGCCCCGCGTTCGCCAGAGGCCGGGGAGAAGCGCAGAGGGGGCTGTGAGGTCTAATCTGGGCAGCCGCTTCGCCTCTGGGACAGACACGGGACTCCCTAACTTCTGTCCCCTCTCTCTGGACGCGCACCCGCAGGGTCGTGCGCTGTAGCCCAGCTCACTCGCGCGCGGCACCCGCGCGCCAGGCGCCAAGTCCCGCCGAAGGCGATGCGTGCAGGGGGCCGGGAGGCTGGGCTTGGGCGGCGGGAGTAGGGCCCGCAGGAAGGCAGGGAGGGGCAGGGGTGAGAGCCCGGGCTGCGCGGTGGGCAGAGACCGCCTTTGCTCCACGCACACACCTGCTGCCGCCGCCGCCGCGCCGCAATGAGCCGCGTGGTCTCGCTGCTGCTGGGCGCCGCGCTGCTCTGCGGCCACGGAGCCTTCAGCCGCCGGGTGGTCAGCGGTGAGTCTGGGGGCCGCCCGCCCGTCGAGTGGACGGACCAGCTGGAGAGGGACCGCGGGGCGCGCGCGAGAGGGAGGTGCGAAGCCCCGCGTCCTGGGGTGGAGGCTCTCCCGGGGACGGGGAACCAGTGCGGGGAGAAGGCGGGGAAACGGATTGTGTTCTGTTTTCTTCTCCGCCCCACAAAACACACGTAAAAAAGTTTAAATTTTTTTTTTTGGAAGTGCTTGATTCAACAGCTGCGACGCGAGCTCTGCTTCATCATAAGCAGCGCAGTGTCTCCCAGGGGCGATTTCCACTTTCTTTGTGAGAGAGTTGGCCACAGGGGAAGGCCCCGCACCTGCGACAGGGGAGGGGGTCCGCGGAGGCAGAGGGAGCCCACAGACAGCAGAGCCGGGCCAAGCATGCCAGCCCCTGTGGTCCGGGCTCGACTTCGGACCCCTCACTGTGTTCACGCCGAGGATTTCTCAGACCAGTCCTGTTCGCTGTGGGCCGCTCACCGACCCCTGGGCACACCGCCTTTGTTCTCAGGACTGACAAAGAGCAGGAGAGGAGCCTTCCCTTTGCACTCCTCAGTCCAAGTTGGGGACCACTCAGAAAATGAAGTGGGCTCGAATTGGGCTGAGGTGTAGCTGGTGAGGACTGCAGGTTCGTGCACACTGTAGGTGCCCAATTAGGTCGGTGGAGTCAGTGCAAGGGAAGTGGATCAGAATTGGCAAGCTGTCCGGGGTTCGCTCTGAGTTTTTCTTTGGCTTTCACCCTCCTGTTGTTGAGCAATTTGTGTTTGATTCACCCTTTCTTACTTTTTGGGAAGGTCTCTTAAAAATCATGAAGATTCTCAAAAGCTTAGGATGCATGAATAGAGCCTGACATGAACGCGGAGCATAGATATCTACCTTTATTGAACTCTCTTGTGATGCTAATTGAAGTGTTGCAATAAATATTTTTGAATGTATGTGGGCATGTGTTTTAAGTGCGGGAAGGTTTTTTAATGTTAAAAAACCCCAATTCCTCTTCGCATTCTGTGCATCTTATAACAGGTGTCACTAGAGGTAGAGATAGATGACAGATGACAGCAACTTAATCAGTAGTGAAGCCAGACCTTTAGAAGCTGGCATAATAAGCTTGATTGTTACTGATTTCCCCTCAGCAAGCTGCGATGTTCTACATCTTTAGAATATCATTCTTAAATGTCTAGTTATCCATCATTATTAACTTTTTGGCCCTCTGCGGACACTGGAATTAAATACATTGTGAAATGTTATTTGGAAATGCATGCTGCTTACATTTTGGGGGGAAGAAGATCAGACAGTTTATAAAATGAAAACTTTACAGTGTCCCATAAGGATGTTACAGCAGCTACATAGCTCCCTTTATTCTCTAATTTAGATTTGAAGGAAAAGTTCACTCTTTAGACTCACCTGAATGTATGAATTATATGTCTGACTGCCTTTGTGTTTGTCAGAATTATCCTTGCAAATGAATGAACAGCAGAGACCAGGCTTTGAGCATAAGGTGTTTTTTAAACACATAGAAAGCACTTCTTTGACTTAAATAGTGTCTTTTTGGTATACTCTTGTTTGTGTGCCTTAAACTTTGCAAGGGAAAAAAAAAGATATGAAGTAAAAATAGAACTTAAAAATTGTTGGTGAAAGTTTTATTCTGTCTTCTATTATTGCATAAATTGTTGCAAGCCTTTTACTGTGTTTTCCTATTAAGTATTTATAGGCATCTTGTAGGTGACATCTGGAAAATTTCTAATTAACTGAACATGATCTATTTGATTTAGCATAAATGATGATGTTTACTTGATATTAAAGCAGTTATGTTTTTATGAATAATTTAATTGTCTTTGACCATAAAAATTCACATTGACATTTAACCATTATAAATTGATTTGCAATTTTATCCTCTGAAGACTAATTTTTAAAAATACATGTTTCAGATATAATGGCAAGAGTATAGAGCAGTTTAAAGTCGGACATTTTGGAAGTAGTAGGTCTAATGTCTGCTTGGTCAATGCTAAGTTTTGAGAGATGCATTAACTTTTTCATGCCACTAGGGACCATTTACCAAATTCTCGAGTGTCTATTTGACTGAAGCAAGCTCTTGGGGACCATTATTAGGAACACACTCACAACATATGGAACACCTTTTCTATTTATTAAATATCAATACAACTGTTTACTTGTAGACCAAAGTAATCACTTACCCCAGAAAAAAAAAGACAAAGACAGAACTCACAAAATGATCTTTTATAGAAAACTCTCTTTGTCTTAGTACTTTAAGATATACAGTAAGATACTTTCTTGTAGTTTAAGATCCATCACCCTTTTAAAAGTTGAGAACATTATTTATAAACAAAGTGAAAATCTTTTAACAAGAAATAACATCAAACAACTTCATCATCATCATCTGCCCTGTAAGATCTAATAGCGTTTAGTAGTAATAGAAAAGTGTTTTTATAGGTTAGTGGCCATGCTTATTTTGATACATGAATAGGCAATACAAATAAATATATAACAATGAGGATAACAATCAGAGAGTATTTAATGAGTTTATGTTTCTAAGTTGGAAACACTTTTAGGCCTATACTGATTTGTTGCTGAATACAGATGTGTAGAGAATACCTATGGGGGCTACAATCATTTAATTTTATAAAGTGGCTGGTGGGTAACGACATATTCTTTAGGACAAAGGTAAGAGGATTTTACTAATGGGGATATAGATACATAAGAAAAAGAAGAGTTCAAAATTCAGGTCTTTAAGATGGGAGGATATGTTTGAAGAGCACGTGGATAGTTTTAAAGATTTGAAATGTTTTCAAGTAATGTGTTATTTTTTACTCTCTGTTTTTCATTTTAGTGCACACAGCAGTGATTCCCAACCTGTTTATTCTGCAAAATGGCACTAATTGTATTTCATGGTACCTCCAGATTTCTGCAGAACACTTTAATATGGATTAATTTGAATTTATTAAAACTGGCATACATTTTACTTAGGAGACTGGATGATTTAGAGACCTCTGTTTTATCACACAAATGCCACAGAATATTGCAAAATCATGGTGATGTCCAGTAGCCTATAGATTAATATAATAGCAAAGGAGATACAAAAACTGTTATCCTAGCCTATGGTACTATTCCATGACATCATCAAAAGCATAAAGTGATGACAGTGCAGTTTTCAAAGATGCAATTACTTTAAGTATCTCTTGGGCAAGAAAGGAACAAATTAATCTTATTACTAGTCATTTAATAAACTGCGCATTTATCATAGCCATTAATCCTTAACTGCTGTTTTTCAGCATTTTATGGTTTTGTTTTTAGAACTCTTTTTCCTGAGGATGGCAATATCTATTCCATTAACATTAGAAAAGAGGCAGAATTGCATAAAGGGGTGCAAAGCGGAAATCCAGCTGATGGTCTCACTAACAGTTTTTACTTTTTACAACTGCCTTCTGTGCTAGGCACTTTGCACATAGGTGGATGGATGTACACAGCTGCCAGGAAAGATGGTTTTTTTCACTGTTTCAACATATTCCTGATGACATAACATGGCCAACAACTTGACTAAAGTGATCCTCCTTGTAATTGGGGGGGAAAATTCAGTTTGGGCCTTGTTTGTTTTATAAGGAAAACAAAAGGCCTTGATAAAACAATCATTAAGCACGTATATGGTCTGAAAAATCTGAGATCAATGTTCCAATATTAATCCTGTGTCTGAAATGTTCACTAATAGAAAATCCACAGTCTGCTTAGAAACAAACTCTCAAGGCACAACCCCTTGTCTATATCAGTCACCCAGGAATCAATAACGGATCAACACTAATTGCTATAACATAGACAACATGAATAATGGAGATATGCATCAATCCCTTCACACATGAAATCTTTCACCTTAGAAAAATATTATATTTGGGACATATATGGAGGCAGCATAAAAATTGGGGTAAACTCACAAATTGTGGAGACAGATGGCCTGCTTCTAAACCCCGACTTTACCCCTTAGGAGTGGTGTGAATTGGGGCAAGTTATTTTTCTATGGCTGCCTTTATTTTAAAAGTTGGATGAGAGGACCAGCAGCAGGGGGTTGAAGGAGGTTAAAGGGGTTTGAACACAGTTGTGCAGGTTGTGGCATCACCAGGGGTGGGTGCCAGGAAGCATGAGAGGGAACTTAGCAGGCAAGCCCTGTGCCTGGAGCTGAGGCCACCTAGAGGGAAACACCCCTCCCCCCCCCCCC